GTTTGTGTGGCCTCGGAGTGGGTCTCCCAACGACTGGCCCGTCTCCGCATTCCATAGTCGAATCGTGATCATCCGAGCCGAGAGACGAATTTGCGAGCCGCCTGGTGAGAAGGACGGCGGTGACCGAGTTTGTGTGGCCTCGGAGTGGGTCTCCCAACGACTGGCCCGTCTCCGCATTCCATATTCGAATCGTATGATCGTCCGAGCCAGAGACGATTCGCGAGCCGTCTGGTGAGAATGCGACGGCGCTGACCGAGTTTGTGTGGCCTCGGAGTGGGTCTCCCAACGACTGGCCCGTCTCCGCATTCCATAGTCGAATCGTGTTATCCCACGAGCCAGAGACGATTCGCGAGCCGTCTGGTGAGAATGCGACGGCCCTGACCGAGTTTGTGTGGCCTCGGAGTGGGTCTCCCAACGACTGGCCCGTCTCCGCATTCCATAGTCGAATCGTATGATCGTGCGAGCCAGAGACGATTCGCGAGCCGTCTGGTGAGAATGCGACGGCGCTGACCGAGTTTGTGTGGCCTCGGAGTGGGTCTCCCAACGACTGGCCCGTCTCCGCATTCCATAGTCGAATCGTATGATCGTGCGAGCCAGAGACGATTCGCGAGCCGTCTGGTGAGAATGCGACGGCGGTGACCGAGTTTGTGTGGCCTCGGAGTGGGTCTCCCAACGACTGGCCCGTCTCCGCATTCCATATTCGAATCGTATGATCGTCCGAGCCAGAGACGATTCGCGAGCCGTCTGGTGAGAATGCGACGGCGGTGACCGAGTTTGTGTGGCCTCGGAGTGGGTCTCCCAACGACTGGCCCGTCTCCGCATTCCATACTCGAATCGTCTGGTCTTTCGAGCCAGAAATGATTCGAGAGCCGTCTGGAGAGAAAATGGCGCTCACGACCGCGTTGTCGTGCCCTTTTAATGGCCCTCCAAGTAGTGGCTGACCGGTTTTTCCATCCCATAGCCGAATCATCTTATCCTGCGAAGCAGAGACGATTCGCGAGCCGTCTGGAGAGAATGCGACGGCGGCTGACCGGTTTGTGGCCTCGGGTGGGTCTCCCAACGACTGGCCCGTCTCCGCATTCCATAGTCGAATCGTATGATCGTGCGAGCCAGAGACGATTCGCGAGCCGTCTGGTGAGAATGCGACGGCGCTGACCGAGTTTGTGTGGCCTCGGAGTGGGTCTCCCAACGACTGGCCCGTCTCCGCATTCCATATTCGAATCGTATGATCGTGCGAGCCAGAGACGATTCGCGAGCCGTCTGGTGAGAATGCGACGGCGGTGACCAAGTTTGTGTGGCCTCGGAGTGGGTCTCCCAACGACTGGCCCGTCTCCGCATTCCATAGTCGAATCGTCTTATCATACGATCCAGAGACGATTCGCGAGCCGTCTGGTGAGAATGCGACGGCGGTGACCGAGTTTGTGTGGCCTCGGAATGGTTCTCCCAACGACTGGCCCGTCTCCGCATCCCATAGTCGAATCGTCTTATCATCCGATCCAGAGACAATGCGTGAGCCATCTGGTGAAAATGCGATTGCCGTGACTCCATTTGTATGTCCCCGAAGCGCTTCTGGAAGTCCCCGGTATGTCTTCTCCAGCCCTTTAGTCACTTTGAGAGTGTTCTTATACATATCTAACCCCTCAATATGCAGATGCGATTCTGTAGGTGTGAACGGAAGCGCCGAGATGTAGATGTGCGGAGCACTCTCTTGAATAGGTACTGAAAATGCCATCATAAACCGCATCACTTCACTTATGCGGCTCTTAGTCTCTTTTTCAACCTTTCCTTTGTTAAAAATGCGGATATATCGAGGCGAGCCACTCACAGTATTGCGCGTCACAGCTCGGAGCCCATCTATAGCTCGAGGCAGTCTCCAATCAGGCTCAGAACCTCCATCAATATAGTACATATGGAACTCGAATCATATGTTCAACTTCATTTCTGAGCTTGCTTCTCCATTTGCTATCCGTTTCTCCATAGAGAAACGGCCAGTGTAAACTCGCATATCGAATTCATTCCGATGAACTTTGATATTCTTGCCTCTAGATCCGGCATCTCTGTTTCGATAGAAGGACGACTCGATTTCACATATATTGAACTTGAGGCCTTCCTTCGGTCGAAAGTTATTCAAACCCCACGATGCAATTTGACCGTGCGCATTGGCGATATCGATATACATTCCACTCGAGTCTTTGAGGTCTGGGCTAGACAGCGCCGTCGCAGATATTCCACAAGAGTAGGACGAAACTGAATGACTTTGTTGCTTCATCTTCGATAAGAACACTTCAAGTTTCGAATCAACACCTGGAATTTCCCCGTAGTCTACTATGCTTGAGAATGTTATCAAGATCCTCGGTAAGTGGTTCGAATGCAGCGAGCAGTAGTGCAAGCATGCTCCACATGATGGTATGGTATTTGGGATCTATCCTCTCGAAGATGAGCTTGTATACGTCAATCTCCACTTTGGTCCTGAGACCAATGAGCCATATATATTCTCAGGCGTTTCCCATGTTGTTTCGTTGTTGATCATTCGACATGCGGTGCTCGCCAGATGAACAATCCCTCGCCTTCTCAATCAGCCGCCCTCTTGTCCTGGGTAGAACAGTGTAGAGGATTGATGGACATACATCGCGATGTCATCTACGTTGTCACGATGTTTGACATCATGCAACCGGTCTTCCAATTTACATTTGATCGAGAGTGGTTGAAGAACCGATTCGATGACGGCGTCTGGCCGACTCGTGATGAATACCTTGAGGTTCTTGCTTTGTCGAACGGCTTTAGCAAGCGTGTCGACAAGTTCCTTTCGCTGAGGTCCAGATTTGCATTCGTCTATGGCGTCGATGACAAGAACTACGCGTCCGTCTCGATGACGGAGTGGATCGATGATGAGTGTACGGAATTGGTCCTCCAACGAACTCCGCATGATAGATGGGTTCCGTTTGACGGCATCTGCGACGTGGGGTGCGAGTTGGGGAATGTGTTGGGCAAGGTCTCTTGCCATGGTCGAGCAGAACTTTTCCATTGTCGATGTATCGCTATTGGCTATCGAGAAGAAGAACTGGCCTCCGAGTTTTCCCTCGACATGCCAGGACGCGGCTGCCGACATTGCAACTGTGGACTTGCCAGAGCCGGCTATGTCGCAGAGCCAGAATATTGGCTTATCAGAGGTATCGTCCTCAGCCCAATTCTGGATTGTCTGGAGGACAGCCTGTCGAGTTCCTTGTAAACAGGTTCTATGGACCGAGGATGGGGCAGATGCCACCATCGGAAGTTGGAAAATAAAGGATGCGTCGACTTGGAGTATTTGAGTGAACGTCGTGCAAACAAGTCCTAGCTTACCGTCTGAGGAGACTGCTTCTACCTTGTGTTCGATGGCATGAACTCGGTAGCCCGTGAAGAGGGCCAACGCTTCCTATTTAGTGTGTGAAATTAGGATGATATAGCCTGGTGCTCTCACCATGAACTGCCTATGCCGGTCCTCGATATCGCGATTGAATTTACGAATGAGCCCTGCGTCGACCTTTACTTTTCCGATGGCCGTAAAAGCACCGTGGCTGGTGCGGGGTCGCTTATGCCTATCATTGACGATAGCGCAATGAATATCCTCGAGAAGTCTGCGTCAATCAGTCGACTGCGCCAGAGTAGATGTGCCAATTACTTACTCGACATAACGAACGAGTGGCTGGCTGAAAGCCTCGTCGACAACCCTATCCTGTGGAGGATACTTCTCGAGCGAGTCGATTTGGTTCTCAATAGCCCACATGTATTCCTCCAGACGGCGTACAAGGTCACTCCAGTCTCCTTGATTATCGTCGATGGCCTGTGATATCCGTCAGGCGACGTTATGCGGGTTTGTGTACTTACCTGCTTGACATCTATGATTGACTTTGTTGTTTTGCAGGCTGCTTTGAGCGGAGCGAGGATATCCGACGCCTCTGCTACGTTTGCGACTACATCCAGCGCGATACTGGCCGCGTTTTGGACTTGATCCCTCCTGCCTGGCGATCGTCCTGTCGCATTCAAGGGCCCCTGATCCGGTTTAGTCGACTTTTGAGATGACATTGTGGAGGTGGAATCCAAGTCAAGGACGGCGTCTACCACTTTCTGCCGCATATTCTCCACGAGCCAGTCGAATCTAACTATGAGAGTAACAATACATCAACTCTTAATGCATGCAGGAAGCAGTCAAATGTCTTCAAACTTGGCGACTCCTCCAACGGCGCAGACCCTGCGTGTGTAGACTGCACGATTCGCAATTGGAACGCGGCAATTTGAAGAGCCACTTCAAGGGCACACAAGTTCGGCCGGCGCCATTGCATTCTCGCCAGATGGCTTGCGAATCATTTCGAGCTCCATAGACTCCACAGTTAGACTGTGGGGCGCCGCATTCGGTTCGTTCCATTTCACTCCTCCCTTACCCTACTTCTGGAAGCTCACCAATACCGCCGGACAATCGCCTCTCATTGACTTCTCCTGCTGCTCACCATACCGACATCGACTTTACCCATTTCCTGCGGTCCTCTTGGACAAAGTCAGAAAGTATCCATTGAACCAAGTTTTGACAGGTATAAAATCAATATCACTATATATCCCTTGCCTTACGAGCTTGAAAATGAGCATGATGTTTGTGTACACTTGGCTTGCTGGCGTTGCTGGAACGAGCGCTTTCGACGATGCGATCGACAATATAGATGGGAAAGCTTAGTTCTCGCCAATAAAGTCGATAATAGCTCGTAAAGACAGGAAACGACTGGGTTTACAAGGCGAGAGGTCACCAGCAAGTCTGTCAAGAGGTGTTGCTTGCAGGATCATTTGATTCAATGTTCTGGGTCCTCCTTGCTTCTTGTTTAGGACGACCGGCTTTACTATTTTCGCGCCTATATTCGCTTCCTCATCGAGTTCATCTCACTAGTCTCTCGATTGACAATTGGGTAATCGACCTGAAGAGTCTCTTCTTGAGACGTAGCACGCCAAAGTATCCAACTCGACTTTTAGTATTCAGACTCGTCTTTGCATACACTAGGCGACTCGTATAGATTAAGACTTGCAGGTGATGTCACTCACGATCCAAGAGAGACAAATGCTGACCAACTCTTCACCGAGGACTGGGAAGCCATTCTTTGGAAAGTCTGCAAGCGTAACTCTTTCCTTTCCGCTTTATAACTCCCTCCACCTCGTCCGTGTGATCGTAATCTCGAATCGTGATGCCTTGTTGGAAGAGGGATATCTGTAAAAGAGTCTGGTGATGAGGACGTAGCCCTGGCCTAGACAAGACGTTAGGACTTTGATTGATGGTATTGAACAACTTACATTCGCCTCGAAACCAATTTACGGAGTGTATCCATACACCACTTCAAGTTCATTGGACCTTCGGGAACAATTCGCAGGATATCTTGACATATCCATGCTCTGCTTCAATATCCTTCGAAGCAGAGGTGGCCTTGACGCGTACACAGGCTCGTGTAGCTTGCGGAAGTCCACTGTCCTTGGGTGGCTCAAAACCAACGAGGACCTGCGATCACTTTGATATTGTGAATCGCGTCCGCATTTCTAAGTGCAGTTTCGATATTGGTACGACGATTACTCGTTTCGGCGTGACTGGATGGTGAAGTTCCCCAGCATAAGTCACTGAGCGGACGAGAACGGATGTCTTGTTGGGATTTGGCGGTATAAATGGCCTCCTGTACTCTTATTTAGAGTTAGCAAAGCGCCAACTGTGCAAAGTCGAGTTTGACAAACTTTCGAATCGTGGAACGTCGCGCTCCAATAGCCTCATACGATCGAAAAACTCTTTTGCTGATGAAAGATCTCAACCCCAGCTGCTCATGTGCCGTTGGTCCTCTTCTTCGACGTTTTCGATATCCCATAGACGTCTTCCTCTTCCTGAATGTTGGCGCGTAATCGCGCATCTCTGGTACATCTGTAGATGTACTGGCTTGATCTGCATGTGCTGAGGAGCTGGAAGAGAGAGTCTGCGGGTGATGGACGGTGTTATTCTGTGTTGAGTGAGCGTTGCTACACTCGAGTAGTTGACCACATGTTGAATAGTGAGATATAAAATGATAATAGGCCTTGACTTGTAAAGCCGTGTAAACTGGTTCTGTAACCTTGACCTCTCCTACATTTGACCCGAAAATGGCGAGTCTCACGCGTCTCGCAGTAAATCTGGCAACATCTAACGACATGGTTGGAATTATAGGATCCTAATAATCTCTTTGCCCAGTTTGCAGGGTGAGTTTCTCAAAGCCACCTGGATCATATCTGCGCCTGGATGTCTTGTTTTTCATTTGATGGGTGTATCTGCCATTTAGAGACACCCATCCATCCAGGCGTCGCGTCTGCATCCAGCCTGTCTGGCAGTTAGTGGCAATGACGCGTCGTGTTTGAAACCAGAGCCAGCCGTTGAAAGACGCTGACCTATTCCGTTCTCGCACACCAATCTCGTTGTTTCTCCATCTCCTGGATCCACCCACAAACCGCATTTCTC